TCCCTCTCTTGATTCAAATGACATAACCAAAAGACATCACCTACTTCTTATAACACACAACTCCATATTCACATAATTGTTCATACATGTATACATTATCACAGTAAAATCAATTACATAAATTTACCAATGGCTCAAGCAAATCATTTTCCCATATTAACTATAGCCTCTTTTGTAAGCCATCTAATACTTGTGGCTTGTGTTTCAATTACATAACGTTAGTCCAAAAATGTCAGCTTCTATTATTTGAACACTCAGGAAAAACACAATCTCATTATCAAGGTCATGTTTATATTGTGCTGGTCCCGCTAACTCTGGGTACATATATTAGACATTGCAGGTTCCTGATGCACATCATTTATTTTTCAGATTGGATTCAAAATGGCTGTCTGGCGGCCATTTTGTTTTAATGAATGGGCTTCTAGACCCATATCTCCGACTTGTTTTGACTGATTATATTCAAATTTTAAATATTCATTATACATCATGTTATAGATAAACAGATATATTGGTTTGACGATCCTATTCAAAATGGCCGAATAGTGGTCATTTTTGTGCTAAAATATCATCAAATATCAAGCATTTATGGATGGATTTTGTTCAAACTTGTTACATACATTAGACATTATGGGTTCCTGATGCACGTTATTTTTTTTTTCAGATTTGATTCAAAACGGCTGACTGGCGGCCATTTTGTTTTAATGATTGGGCTTCTAGAGCCATATCTCTCAAATCCTTTGACTGATTATATTCAAATTTTATATATTCGTTATACATCATGTTATATATATACATGTATTCAAAATGGCTGATTTTGAATGCTGTTCCAAAGCAATATCTCTCAATATGGACAAGTACTTGTTTGACGATCAGATACAAATGTCAATCATATTCCTGACATGGTTATATTCCAGCTATATTACTAAAAACAAAACTATATATCTTAAATTTGATAACTAACAGGAGCTGTGCCTTGCATGGCTTGTTTTAAACAAAAATGCACTTATTAAACAAATAGTAAATATGCGAGTTTTTTGTTTTTGCCGAACGAGGACAAGGAAGACAAAATGGCGGTAGTTTTGTGTAGGATCGATCCTGATCTTCGGTTTGTATCAAAAGCTCGTCTCACAAATGAAATTTTTTTTTTTCGAGCGATAATTTGATAGCAATTAAACAAATTTCAATCATTGGCGTATGTAAGGGCTGAATCACTTTCAAGGGCTCAAAGTCCGAACGAACATTAAACTACGATGTTTTTATTTATCTGTTCTAGGTATGTTGTACAGACTTTTTAGTTGTACTATTTTGATGATTTAATTTCAAGAATCTGTCAAGGAAACAATCTGTTGTTACGTTACATGTTCACGTAGGTTTAATTTAGCAGATTTTACTTGTCAGCAAAAATAGCGAAATTTGCCCATTGCATCAGGAAGATCTATCCCGATTTGCTGCACTGAGGTTAATTGCGGTTTTTACTGCTCCATCGCTAATGACACTAATTACCATGAATTAAAAAAACAAGTGAAATTAAGTCGCATTGGGTAAAAAAAAACATAAGGAAATCAAAGCAAAAATTATTCAACTGCAGACAGGACAAACCCAGACCTCTAGAAATACCTCATTCATAGAGTGCCTCATTAGTGCCCTTTGTTTACAAGTATAGACTGAGTGTTCTTGCATGTTTTTCAAAATGCCCATATCAAAATCATGCGTTTCCATATACAGTATGTCATAGATTCTCAGACATCTTGATCAATTTTATTGATGGATTGACCTACATGCAATTACATTCACTTATTAGGCAAAGCCTACGTCAGACACCCTAGCGACTGTGTCCTGACATTTCATTTTGAGACAAAACATACATTTTGTTTTGTTAACTCATTCATTCATTATATAGAAATTTATACGACTGAATGAAATATATTGAAAGGTATTCGCATCATTTCTATTTTTTTATATTCAACATGTCCAAGTCCCCCATTATTAGACATTGTTGAAGTTTGTTTGAGCCAACTTGTTCTCATTGTGTAATAATCTTCAGGCGACATAGCAAACTGTTAAAGATCATAACTGACAATGTTGCTGTTTTAATGTTTTGTGACAGTAAGGTGTTTTTTACAGAATTCTAAGTGCAGAATTTCATATTTTATTTTATCTACATTGTTCCGGTTATGATTCTTAAAAGCCCTCTAAATTTAAGAAAGAATTTGTAGAATTTAAGTATACATTTTTAGGTTTGCGAAAATAAATTTGTTTTCTGTGACTGTTTCTAATTCTTTGTCTCACTTTAGGAAAGTGGTTGGTGCGCTGGAAAAACAAATAAAGAAACTTTGGCATACAACGAGTATTTACTTGCACCCAAATATACATGAATATGCTGAGAAGCTGACATCAAGGTTACCAGAACACCTAAAGGTATGTCTGTCAATTAAATTTGTTGGGTGTAGTGGCAAATTTGGTCTTCTGTTATAATTGAGAATTATTATAATTGAGAATTAATTCACATTATTAATCATTTATGAGTATCAATTATTAGTTTTGGATATTATGAGGTTATTATGAGAATACCAAAAAGTATGCACGAAAAGAGTACAGCGAGAGTATCCTCGTAATAACCTTATTATTATACATCTTTTCCTCCCAATGATACATCATGGAATGCCAAAATCAAAAACATTTAGAACAGATTTAGCGAACATCTTTGTGTGGGGTCTGGCCGCTATGTTTGTTTTTATTATATAATAGGATGACAATTTCCAGTGCAATACAGCAAAATAACAGATGTATAATAATTCCAATTATGTTGATGTTGATAATTTGTAACTTTTTACCATATTTATAATGATCTCATTGTTGACTAGCTAACTTTTCAACTTTGTTGTTTAAGTCTACAGGGCTTTCATGAACTGAGAAACATGCAACCTGTGGGTGAAACACTAGTGCTAATTTTAGTTTATTATTTCAAATTTTAGTATATGATCACAAATATTTGTTTACATTTATTAGAAGTGTTGTGATCTGAAATAAATGTGTCTTTGGCAAAAAAATGTTTGTTATTCAACATTTGTATGTTATACCTGAGTACATGGGATTTGAATATTGCAAGGGTGTGTGTGATCACATGTAATAATCATGGTGGGCACATGGTACCAGAGTGTGGTCACATGAAAGCTATTATTATTATGTTAATCAACCAATTTGTGAATATTGTGCACATTAAAGTTACCATTAAGGAAGTTTTTATACTGATTGGTGAGTTTTCAATACTCATAGATATTTATTTTTCTACAGGTTGTATATTTTGTAAATAGTGGTTCCGAGGCCAATGATTTAGCAATGACAATGGCTAGACTACATACTGGTTG